ACTAGAAGAAACTTCGACATCTAACATAGAAAAGACCTGAACACACAACAGACGCATAAACTTCTATTAGCTCTGTTTCTATACTTCTGTCACAGATATCTATTAGCTCTGTTTCTATACTTCTGTCACAGATATCTAGATACTCTGTTTCTATACTTCTGTCACAGATATCTATTAGCTCTGTTTCTATACTTCTGTCACAGATATCTAGATACTCTGTTTCTATACTTCTGTCACAGATATCTATTAGCTCTGTTTCTATACTTCTGTCACAGATATCTAGATACTCTGTTTCTATACTTCTGTCACAGATATCTATTAGCTCTGTTTCTATACTTCTGTCACAGATATCTATTAGCTCTGTTTCTATACTTCTGTCTCAGATATCTATTAGCTCTGTTTCTATACTTCTGTCACAGATATCTAGATACTCTGTTTCTATACTTCTGTCACAGATATCTAGATACTCTGTTTCTATACTTCTGTCACAGATATCTATATACTCTGTTTCTATACTTCTGTCACAGATATCTATATACTCTGTTTCTATACTTCTGTGACAGATATCTAGATACTCTGTTTCTATACTTCTGTCACAGATATCTAGATACTCTGTTTCTATACTTCTGTCACAGATATCTATTAGCTCTGTTTCTATACTTCTGTCACAGATATCTATTAGCTCTGTTTCTATACTTCTGTCACAGATATCTATATACTCTGTTTCTATACTTCTGTCACAGATATCTAGATACTCTGTTTCTATACTTCTGTCACAGATATCTAGATACTCTGTTTCTATACTTCTGTCACAGATATCTAGATACTCTGTTTCTATCCCTCAGCTCTGTGTTCGTAGAGAAAATGGCGTTTCAGAGTTGATCTTGTTGACGCTCCGCCCTGCAGCGTCGTTCCTCTAAAGCGCCGACATCTGATTGGTCCAGGTTAAACTCAGATCACATGACTCAGAGCTGCTGAGGGTCGTTAAACTTTAATGAGGGTTAGAAAAAAGGTTGAAGAGTCTGAAGCTTTTTTTTTGGTTCTCCTCCAACGAGAGCGTTCGTCCTGTTCATGGTCGTTTGAGAGGCGGAGCTTCTCTGCAGGTTAAACAGCTGTTAACGCTCCTAAAACGGCCGAGAGCGCCAGGTTTGACCGCCGTGAGGAATCTTAAGCGAGAGAGCGAGCGAGCGCTGAAATATTCATGATCATTAAACATGAACAGGCCTTCGTTAGACCTTCGTCCTCCATCACACATTCTGCCGCCCGCCGCGTCTGTGAGCAGCAGAACTTCTTCATCACCCAGACAGAGTTCACAATGACCTGAGGTCCAGGAGGAGGAGGAGGTCCAGCTCCTGAAGAGGAGGAGGTCCAGCTCCTGAAGAGGAGGAGGTCCAGCTCCACCCAAACCTTCTCTGAGTTTTGAGGAGATGATGGAGTCAGAAGATCTACCAACTTGAAAGGAAAGAAGGAATAGCTCAGAGGGCGCCATGTTCCTGTCCATGCCAGGGCGCCGCGCAGAGTTACAGTATTCCCGGGTAAAGCTCCTCCCACACCAGGACCGTTTTTTTTTTCCGTGCGATTATTTCGGACATCAGTATTTATTTGAACCCGTATCCTGTCAATTCAAGCGTCACATCAGCGACGTTTTCCCGTCCTGAGATATTATGACTTTTATTTTTTCGTTTTGCAGTCGATTTTTCTAAAGTTTCCCATACTGTGTGTCCACTTCTGACCAATCAGATTTCATGTTGTTGCGACGACAGATTTAGCGGTATATCCAACATGGCCGACCGGCTGATTGTTTCCGTGTCGGAGAACAGAGTGATTTTTGATCAAAGACACAAACATTACAAAGAGAACGACCTGAAGGACGACTTGTGGAGAGTCATAGTGTCGGATTTCTCCGATGACGATGGTTTGTGAGCTTTAACAGTTTGATAAACGTCTTTGTTTGAACTTTCATCTGTGCTAACTAACTTTAGCTCTAAGCTAACCTGTTCAGATACAACAGACCATCTGTATTTTCACTGTAAACTCAGTCTCAGCACCATCAGGTCTCTGTTGTTCTGTTTATGGATTATAGTTTCATGTTCTTATCTGGTTCTGACCCGACTCAGTCCATCATGACAGACAGACATCAGAACTGAAAACACTCAGTCTGCTGTTGGATCAGTCTAACACCTGAAGACCCGGGACGCCTCTTTTTCCCCCAGAAAGTCACAAAATCACATCAGGATGGATGTTTATCGTCCGGAGCGTCAAAATTCACCTCTGAATATTTCGTAGTTTCACGTCGTATATGTGTGTCGTTCCTGTTGTGTGAGGATCTTTACAGTATTACAGTGTTACTGTGTCCATTTCAGTCAGTCAGGTGGTTCTGTGGTCTCTCTGTGAGGCTGACCACAGTCCTCCTTGTCGTCTTGTGAAGTTAATTTCTTCATGATTTCTGTGATTTATTTCATGGTTAGTTTGATTTATTTAATTGTTCCAGTGGTTTATTTTATTGTCAGTAGTTTCTTCAGTGTTTTAGGGCCTGGATCACGTCAGCAGAGAGTCGTCGGATCATATTATTGAACAGGACTTTATAAAAGTGAAGAGGAGACCATGAGGGAGCTGCTCCACGGTCCCTCTCCTGCTCATTATTTCTGTTAAACTCCTAATTTTCCTCCTAATCTCATATATTTTCAGCGTTTCTTTCATCCTTTACAGTCTCTGGTCACACATTGGTAAGAGTTACATAAGTGAGGGGACTTCATTAACACACTGGTAATGATCTTTATTTCACACACTAATGTGTGTGTTTCTGTCTCAGACATCGTTATAATGAGGACTGTTTATTTATGTAACAGGTGGAAAATGAAGCTCTGCCCTGCTGCTCATGTTTACATCATGAGTTTATCTGCTGCATCAACATTAAAGGGACACAAATCCATGAATCCACAAGAAAAGACAAAGACAAAGACTCTGTCTTCTTAACGCTGCTGTAAAAGTCTGTTTTAATGAGACACAGGAAGGTCAACCCCAACACCAGCCTGTAATACTTCTGCTCGAAGTGTCCCGGCGAGTGTTTCTGTTTCTGTCTGGGGAGTAAAAGTGCCGCGCTTCAGTTTGTAAAGTTTGAACTTCATAAAGTCAGCTCCACGTTCGTATCAAACTCGCTCTTCTGGCAGTTTGTCCTCTCCTGTTCATTTGCAATAATCAAAACAGCCAGCAGCCATCATATATTATCAGGCAGCGTCTGTGTCTTCACATTTTTAATGCATTAAATCAAATCTGAATTTAAAACGCAGAAAAATTACCTCCTGCAGCAGCAGAGAGAGAGAGAGAGAGAGTTCCCCGAAAACAGCGTTCTTCTGCAGAAAACTCGCTCTCCTCGCTCTCCTCGCTCTCCTCGCCGCGCTGACAGAGATGAGTCACGTCAGGCGTCTTTATTCAGAGCAGAAATTTCTCATTAAGTGGAGGCTCCTCTTCACTGTCATGAAAGCGGTCCACATGCGTTCGTATTGAATGTTGCTGTAAAGGAGAAGGTCGTGATGCTTCCTGTGGAGTCTGCTGCTCCTCTAAAGAGGTTCTCGCTCTTTTCTCTTCGAACCTTGGACAGTTTTTTACCCGCCCCCTTTATTCTCTTTAAATCTGTTTTGTGGACACAGATGAAATGATCACCTCAAACATGTTTACTTCATGTCTGAACGTCCCTGAAGGTCACCATCACAGAGAGCCCTTCAGTCCAAGACAAACCAGACCACCGTCACCGCCGTCACCGTCTCTGAGGCTTTACAGCAGAGCTGCAGAAACACGGGATCTGTTTTTATCATCTTCATTTACTCTGTTTTATATCTGTTTTATATCTGATCTGTTTTAAATCTGATCTGTTTTAAATCTGATCTGTTTTAAATCTGATCTGTTTTAAATCTGATCTGTTTTAAATCTGATCTGTTTTAAATCTGATCTGTTTTAAATCTGATCTGTTTTAAATCTGATCTGTCTTAAATCTGATCTGTTTTAAATCTGATCTGTTTTATATCTGATCTGTTTTATATCTGATCTGTTTTTTTTTTTTTTTTTTAAACTTTATTTTTATCTTTTAAGGCAAACTTTCAAACATACACGCAAATACTGTACAAAACAAAACAAAACAAGAACAAGAACAAGGGGGGCAAACACTACTCAGTTACATACAGGTGCCATTTAGTCCATTTTATATATCTGATCTGTTTTATATCTGATCTGTTTTATATCTGATCTGTTTTATTTCTGATCTGTTTTAAATCTGATCTGTTTTAAATCTGATCTGTTTTATATCTGATCTGTTTTAAATCTGATCTGTTTTAAATCTGATCTGTTTTATATCTGATCTGTTTTAAATCTGATCTGTTTTATATCTGTTTTATATCTGATCTGTTTTAAATCTGATCTGTTTTATATCTGATCTGTTTTAAATCTGACATGTTTGAGCAGCTCTTTGGGAACCTCGTTGTTTTGAAAATGTTCTGTACAAATAAAGCTGGATTGGACTGGATGGAAGAACTTTCACACATTCAGCCTCTCAGTTTGGAAAAGCACAGATCATGAGGAGCTGCTCTGATTGGCCAGATGGAAGTAGAGGTGGAAAAACACCAAAACAAAGATGGCGACCTCACCAGAAGAACCCATGTCCACACCGAACCTCAGAGTCCTTCAAACAAACTGTGACCATGAGCAGCTCCATGAGGGAAGTCCAGGGTCTCCACAGTCCCTGAAGGACTGAACCCTGGACTGAAGGGTCAGGGAGGTCAGCTGACTTTCACACTGAGACCACAGTGAGGTTCTGAGGTGGTTCTGTGGTTCTGTGGGTTTATAAGAGATGTGTGCAGAAACAAGTCCACTCAGTGAGAGCGTCTGTCCTCTGTCTCTGTGTTTACTGTCTCTGCAGAGCGCTGAAATCAGAGTCACCTGATCAGACCTGCTCACTGTTTCCTCTGTGTGTGTGTGTCTGTGTGTGTGCGTGTGTGTGTGTGTGTGTGTTTCCTCAGTGTGTCCCAGTGGGAAGTTCGGGAAGGCGTGTTCACAGACGTGTTCCTGCACCAATAACGGGACGTGTAACCCGATCGACGGTTCGTGTCAGTGTTACCCGGGCTGGATCGGTGACGACTGCTCCACCCGTGAGAAAGACACACAAAAATCATCTGTGTGTGGACACACCTGTGTGTGTGTGTGCAGATATATATGTGTGTGTGTGTGTGTGTTTTGCAGCGTGTCCTCAGGGTTCCTGGGGTCCAGACTGTATCCACACCTGTAACTGTCATAATGGAGCTCAGTGCAGAGCCACAGACGGAGAGTGTGACTGCAGCCCGGGGTGGACGGGACTGTACTGTACTCAACGTAAGACACACACACACACACACACACACACTGACACACACACACACACACACACACACACACACACACACACACACACACACTGACACACACACACACTGACAAACACACACACACACACTGACACTGACACACACACACACACACTGACACTGACACACACACACACACTGACACACTGACACACACACACACACACTGACACACACATTGACACACACACACACACTGACACACACACACACACACACTGACACACACATTGACACACACACACACACACACACACACATTGACACACACACACACACACACACACACTGACACACACACACACACACTGACAGAGTCTCCAGCAGCAGTGTTGTTGTTGTTGTTGTTGTTGTTGTTGGTGTTGTCGTTGTTGTTTCTCCTGTTTTGTTAATCTTGCGCCGCCCTCTAGTGTCAGATCAGTGAACTTCATCCTTTATTTCTCTGGACTCGGGTCTTTTCCTTCGATGGTTTAATCCTCACTTGGGCCCGGTTTCAGGATAAGTACTGATCAGTGGCGATTGCTCTAAGACTGCAAGGGAAGCTCGGCTTCCCTTAAAATGTCACCCCCCAAAAAAAAGAAAAAGTGGTGAAATACGTACGGCTGTGTGTACATTTCATTATCTAAATACGCACTAGAAAGCCTTCATCTTTTGTTCAGACACTGTGATAAGAAGCTGATAATCACAGGTAACCGGCATAACTTCGTTCTCATTCATCCTCACAGCGCCTCAGCGCTTTAAACAGCCGGACGCTGGGCTTCTGCTGACTTCAATGAGGAAGCTCAAAGTGGGTTGTTCCAGCAGCGAAACTAGACGCTCATTGGATAAATGCTGGGCTTTGTCCCGCCCAATGGAAGCTCAGCTTCACTGGAGTTCTATGGCGAGAGGGCGGTCCCGACTTTCTCCCGGACTCCAAGCTTCTGCCTCCATGATTGGATGAGCTGTCTGAGGCGAAATCCTTTTTTGATTGACAGCTAAACAAGCGAATCAGCGATCTTGAAGAATAAAACATCTACCAGAGTATTTTCCAAGTTATTCATTCCGTTGTTCTCAACTGCTCCGGAGACTTTACCGATCCTCAGCGACTTTTGTCTTTGTTAAAAACGACTGCCGTTGTGTTTGGCGACTCTGTTCTGTTACATACTAATAAACAAATACAATTATGATGTAGGTCAGAAATATGAGCTTCCCCTCCTTGAAAGACCAGCAGCCGCCACTGGTACTGATCCAAAAGAAGATCCTCCTCAGACCTGCAGGACAGTCTGAACCTGGTCCATTGTTCAGAGGTCTCCTCAGTCCTGGTTTGGTTCTGATGGTACCAGAGTCCCAGAGTTTATGGGACGGACTGCAGAGAGAGCAGTTCTCTAGATCTGCAAGATCAGGATTTGGATCAGTCTGCAGAGATGATCCGGTTTGGTCCAGATCCTCGGATCAGGTTTAGAGAAGGAGAAACACCTGGACTCTGACTGTTGTTGTGTTTCCTCCTCTCCTTCTCCTCTCTCCTCTCCCCACCCCTCCCTCTCTCTCCTCCTCTCTCTCCTCCTCCTCCTCCCTCTCTCTCCCCCCCCTCCTCCTCCCCCTCCTCCTCTCTCCTCCTCCCTCTCTCGTCCCTCTCTCTCTCCCCCTCCTCCTCCCTCTCTCCTCCCTCTCTCTCCTCCCCCTCCTCCTCCTCTCTCCTCCCCCCTCCTCCCTCTCTCCTCCTCCTCTCTCTCCTCCTCTCTCCTCCTCTCTCCTCCTCTCCTCTCCTCCTCTCTCCTCCCCCTCCTCCTCTCTCCTCCTCCCTCTCTCTCCTCCCCCTCCTCCTCCTCTCTTCTTTCTCCTCCTCTCTCTCCTCCTCTCTCCTCCCTCTCTCTCCTCTCTCTCCTCCCCCCCTCCTCCCTCTCTCCTCCTCTCTCTCCTCTCTCCTCCTCTCTCCTCTCCCCCCCTCCTCTCTCCTCCCCCTCCTCTCTCCCTCTCCTCCTCCTCCCCCTCCTCCTCTCCCCCCCTCCCTCTCTCCCCCCCCTCTCCTCCCCCTCCTCCTCTCTCCTCCTCTCTCTCCTCCCCCTCCTCCTCCTCCCCCCCCTCCTCCTCTCCTCCTCTCTCCCCCTCCTCTCTCTCCTCTCCCCCCTCTCCCCTCCTCCTCTCTCCTCCTCTCTCTCCTTCTCCCCCCCCTCCTCCTCCCCACCCCCCCGTCTCTCCCCTCCTCCTCTCTCCCCCCCTCCTCCTCTCCCCCCCCCTCTCTCCTCTCTCCTACTCCCCTCCTCCTCTCTCCCCCCTCCCCCTCCTCTCTCCTCCTCCTCTCTCCTCCTCCCCACCCCCTCCCTCTCTCTCCTCCCTCTCTCCTCCCCCCTCTCCTCCCCCTCCTCCTCTCTCCTCTCCCCCCCCCCCCCCTCTCTCTCCTCTCTCCTCCTCTCCCCCTCCTCCTCTCTCCTCTCTCTCCTCCTCCTCAGGTTGTCCCTCAGGTTTCTTCGGTCCTCGCTGTGAGGAGGTGTGTCGTTGTCAGAACGGGGCGGACTGTGACCACATCAGCGGACTCTGCTCCTGCAGGACGGGTTTCATCGGGCCGAGCTGCGAGTTTAGTGAGTGTCCGCCGCCATCTTTGACACGTTCTTACAGACAGGAGACGTTCGGTTTGACGGTTTCTGCTCAGAGAGGAGGAGGACACAGACGGACGGACGGACGGGGATTCAGTTTGTCCAAAAGACGGTTCGTTAAAGATCAGACAGAGGACAGAAAACGGTCAGGTCAGAGAGATAAAAAAAAACAGGAGGTGGAGAGGACAGGTCAGAAAAAGACACGGGTTAACGAACACAGAGAGACTCAAAAGGGTTAACTAGAAGGAGGATGATGGGAAACAGGTGAGGAGACGGGGGCGGGGCAGAGCTGACAGGAAGAAGGGTTAGAGAACTACAAAATAAAACAGGAAGGACATGAAACATGAGTGCGCCAAAATAAAAGACACTGAGCCTGAGACAGTTTTTATTCTGGACCAGTTTAAGATCCGGGTGGGTCCAGGTTCTGATAGTCATGTGGTTCTGTTTGGACACTGAAGTGTTCCCGGGTCGTCACTGGGACTTTCGCTCAGAATCAGGGTCCAGCTGTCAGAACCAGAACCTCCTCTGTCCTCTGTCCTCCAGAGTGTCCTGCGGGGACGTTCGGGTACGGCTGCCAGCAGCTCTGCGAGTGTCTGAACAACGCCACCTGTGACTACGTGACGGGGACCTGCTACTGCAGCATCGGCTTCAAGGGGATCCGCTGTGACCAGGGTGAGGACTGGGGGGGGGGCGGGTCTCTCTTATAGATCCTTGGTTCTGACCCAGTACAGATCAGATCTTCAGGGCGGCTGAGACTCTGACATGAATCTAAAACCTGAATCCTGACCCTGCCTCCTCTCTGACCTCCCCCCTGTAGCGGCTCTGATGATGGAGGAGTTGAACCCGTACACGAAGATCAGCCCGGCTCTGGCCTCGGAACGCCAGTCGGCCGGCGCCGTTCTGGGGATCATCTTCCTGCTGCTGCTCATCATGGCCATGCTGGGCCTGGTGGTCTGGTTCCGGTTCAGACAGAGAGAGAAAGGTCACCACGTCCCCAACGTCACCTACACCCCCGCCCTGCACATCAACGCCACCGACTACTCCCTCTCAGGTGAGACACACCCTCTGATCCCCCCACAGGTGAGACACTCCCTCTGATCCCCTCTCAGGTGAGACACTCCCTCTGATCCCCCCACAGGTGAGACACACCCTCTGATCCCCCCACAGGTGAGACACTCCCTCTGATCCCCCCACAGGTGAGACACTCTCTCTGATCCCCCCCACAGGTGAGACACTCCCTCTGATCCCCCCACAGGTGAGACACTCCCTCTGATCCCCTCTCAGGTGAGACACTCCCTCTGATCCCCCCACAGGTGAGACACTCCCTCTGATCCCCCCACAGGTGAGACACTCCCTCTGATCCCCCCACAGGTGAGACACTCCCTCTGATCCCCCCACAGGTGAGACACTCCCTCTGATCCCCTCACTGGTGAGACACTCCCTCTGATCCCCCCACAGGTGAGACACTCCCTCTGATCCCCCCACAGGTGAGATACTCCCTCTGATCCCCCCACAGGTGAGACACTCCCTCTGATCCCCCCACAGGTGAGACACTCCCTCTGATCCCCCCACAGGTGAGACACTCCCTCTGATCCCCCCACAGGTGAGACACTCCCTCTGATCCCCCCACAGGTGAGACACTCCCTCTGATCCCCCCACAGGTGAGACCCCTTTATTTCAGGTACTTTGGAAATCCAGATCTGAGCGGGTTTGGAGGCTCCGCCCTCTGATCTGATCTCTCAGTCCTCACTGTCATCCTGCTGCTCCTGTGTTTGCTCATGCTCTGTACACACACACACACACACACACACACACACACACACTACAGGCTGAAAGTTTGGAAGAAGTTCAGATTAGTCCAAACAAAGATCATAGTTTCATAAATATAATTTTAACACAGTAACCATGACTACAGTGTAAAGAGTAACTGATCTGAAGACATTCTGACTATAATTCTGAGGTATTTGAGTTATTGTTGTTAGACTTTCTTTAAAGTTACCTCCTCTGGCTTTAACAACAGCTCGGCATATTCCAGGCATTCGTTCACCAAGTTTTCTAAGGTCTGTTCCAGGGATTACATTCAAGCTTTCTTAAGTTCATTAAAAAGAGACGCTGATTTCTCTGACCGATCGATCCAATTCATCCCGCACAAGCTCAGTTGGAGAAAGGTCTGGAGACTGAGGGGTCCAGACCATCTTTTGAAGAACACCTTCCTCTTCTCTTTTGTCTCGGTAACCCTGACAGAGCTCGGCAGAGAGTTTAGGGTCATTGTCTTACTGCAAAACAAACTGATGAGCCACAAGTCTGAGTCCAGATGGAGCAGCATGGTGCTGGAGGATGGAGTGGTACTGTTCCTTCTTCATGATACTCTTTACTTCAAACTAATCTCCTACTCCATCACCTGATAAACATCTCCATACCATGAACTACCACCTCCATGCTGAATTGTGGGTGTAACACATGGAGCTTTCAGACGTTCACCAGTTTGTCTGCAGACATAGACTCTGAGTTTGGAACCAAACAGTTCAAACTTGTTTCTATCATCATAAGTCCAGTTTTTCTGAGCTTCTGTCCACTCATATCTCTTTATCTTCTTCTGTGGATGAAGTCGTGTTTTTTTGCAGATACTCAACCCTTCAGAACAGCCTTTCTCAAACGTCACGGTTGTCAGAGATTTGGGTTTGGACCTTGTCATGTTGATTTCCTCCCTTATTCGTGGTGCTGTCTTTCTCCGATCTCTCTTCCTGGTGACAATGCTCTGTTCATCCTCTGCTTTTGTAGAAACTCTCTTTGGTCTTTTTCTATCATCAGAACTTCCAGGTTCCTCTCGTCTCTTCAGAGTGGAGTGGACTCCTTTGTTAAACACCTTTCGGCCTTTTTCTCTTTCTGTGTTTCCTTCTTTCCTCGATGTACAAATCTGAACTCTTTCTGGTCATTTCTGCAGTAGTTTGAACTCAGTTTAGATTTATCAGGATTTTTGTCTGCAGACTCTCAGAAGACAAAAAGTTGAAGTGAATAATCCAACTGTGATTTGTTGTTTTTTTGCTTTTCCACTGAAGTTGTGACTCTTGAAAATGTTTTCGACCCTAAAACTAAGCCCTTATTATCTTTAGCTGACATATATTTATCAATGGTCTGTTAACATCGATGTTTATCTAAAGGTAAATGGAGTAAAATGGTGCGTTTCCATGGAAACAACATCTGATCATGGAGTAAATACATCCCAAAATACATCAAACTGGAGTTAAAAAAAGACTTGAAGTTACTCCGAACTGTTCGGCCTGTAGTGTAGATGTGTGTATTAGTGCTGTGTTATTAGCTCTGTATACACACACACACACAGACACACACACACACACACACACACAGACACACACAGACACACAGACACACACGTGTTGTGTATATGGTCGCTGTATCAGAGGCGGGGTCAGTAATGGTGGCGTTGCTGATGTGGGTCTAACAGCAGGGCTGCAGTGCACAGGCCTGCTCTCCTCCTCAGACTCCTCCCCCAGTAACAGCTCAGCAGGACGCTGCTTCACCAACCCCAGCTACCGCACTCTGGGGCCCTGCACCTACGCCGCCCACTACGCCAAGACCGACAAAAGGGGCGGGACCAAGGTGAGAGTGAGAATGAGCAGAGACAGACCTGATTGGTGGGTTTCTCTGAGTGTTTCTGATCATCTGTGGTTTGTTCTGTTCTCAGAGGAGGAGGAAGAAGCGGCACAGGAACAGCGCTCCAGAGTGGGGAGGGGCCTACTGTAACCTCAGTGATCTGGGTCAGTCCGAGTCCTCACCTGTCCTGGTCTCAGTAGTCTTGTCCACAGTTGCGGTCTCTAACCTTTTGGACTCTGTCTGGTTCCCGTTCAGGAGTTTACTGTATCGACCGGCGCTTCAGCTACCACGTGGAGCCGCTCAGCAGAGGTACCTGAGTGACCTCTGACCCCTCAGACAATCCTCCTGCAGCCAATCACTGCCCGGTTCCCCTGCTGCAGATGTTTGCATGTTAGAGACATAAAGTCCACTCTGCAGGACGACTCTGACTCCTCCCCCTCTGACTCCTCCCATCACTGCGAGGCTCCTCCTCCTGCTCTGACCCCGTCACTCTCCCCACGCTCACCTGGAGACTCACCTGTCCCAGAATGCTCTTTGTTCTCCTCTCTGCAGCTTCACAGTTGAACTTTGACCCTCCTCTGTTTCTGTATGTTTCTGTATGTTTCTGTTGTCCTGCACTTTGACCTCTGACCTCCATTCATGAGGTCATGACCTGTCAATCATCTGAAACTTTCTTCCTGAAACAGCCAAGAGACCAGAACCAGAACCACCGAGAACGGACTCATCCGCTGCTGAAAGTAGACCCAAAAAAAGGAGCAGAACCGGATCTGAGAGAAACTCTTCACCGAGCCTTTAGACCCGGTCCCTCTCAGACCTGGTCCCTCTCAGACCTGGTCCCTCTCAGACCCGGTCCCTCTCACACAGACCCGGTCCCTCTGTGCTCAGAGTTCTGCTGTCTTCTTAAAGTTCTGGTTGATGA